GTTTTATTCATTTTATACTGCAGTATACGTATTGAAAATCTCTGACGCATGTGTTGCTTTAATTTATTAAATATTTTTGCAGTACGCAAAGGAATTATAAGAAGTTATTGTAAGAAAAGAGAAAATTTTATAACTTTTTTTGTTTCTATCTAACGGCAATGCGAAAACCATGTTCTATAAAATTAAGTGCGTTGTATGGCAGCGTTTTAGTTTATTTTCTTCATGGNGTTTCAATTGGTTGTTACTGTTTTTCCCTATTATTTTACCACAATGTTGTGTTTTAACCAAATTAAAACTAAAGTTATCGTTGAACATAAATTCAGGGAAAATCTTAAAGAAATGTTGTAGGATTTATATGCTAATATCCCTTCAAAATGGGCTTATTTAAAATAATACGCATTTCTGTCATATATTAAGTGCATGGGTCACAGTAGATTGGCTGTCAAGTTTGAAGAGTAGGAGTAAAAGAAGCTTGTATTTGCTACGAGTAAATACGTGGCCTCACCAAACATTGTAATCGATAGGAGTAGTGTTCTATTAGTTTGGTGTGGTAGTGGTGTTGGTAGTCACGATGTCAGCAATGGCTCGATGTTTTATTCATTTTATACTGCAGTATACGTATTGAAAATCTCTGACGCATGTGCTGGTTTATTTTATGGAACGTTTGTCATAATATACACGAGATCATAAATCAGTTTAAGCGAAAATGGAAAATTTCGGTGGTTTCTTTTAATTTTGTTAAAAATAGTCTTAAAAAATGGCCAATATAGAACGGTCTTGAATTTTTATTTGCGACTTGTTCTCCTTGGATATACAATCCAGCTTAAGAATCAAATAACTATCAGCACTTTCCGGAAAAATTGCAGCAAGTTATCTGGGATCCTAAAAAAAGATGATATTTTCTATTATAATTATGGTTTACAATTGTACATAAATATGAAGCTCATATACATATAGCGCTGTAAAAGTGATAAGAACTATTAGAATAATGTATACTCATTATCATTGAGATAGTGTCAAAAAACCTTTTTTTAAAAATCTTTATCTTAAAAAAAGTTTCTTCCAAAAACTACTACAACATGTATTTTTAAATTTCATTAATAATTTAGACTCGATTAACGAAATAACGGAAATTAGCTGTGATAAATTGTAAATAATTGTTTAAGTAGACAGTGAAAGATTTTTATACCCTCGTCTAACAATAAATGCCAAGTAAGTAACTACATCATTTTGATTCTGTCTGTCCATTGCTTTGTTGTGATGTATCTTCTTCACTTTTATTTTAAATTTTCATTACTTAAAACTTAAGTAAAAGCCAGTAAAACTTCTGATTCTTATTTTTTGATGTTTTTATTCTAAGTGTTTTAAATAATATTGTAAGTGCAAATAAGCTTTTTCTAAAATAATTACACTGTTTTTTACAAAATAAATAGGGAAAGTTAGATTTATTTAATCTTATATTCATATTAGATAAGGGATAAAACTTCTACTTTTATTTAGCTTTAGAATATGTGCTTAAAATAATGCTTAATTTAAACTTTAAGTTTTGGCAATTACTAATATAGAAGTATCATGCACACTGATGAAAAAAATCATGTACGATAGTCTAAAAAAGAATATTTGTTTAATTTTAAGTAGAAGGTAATAAAATTTATCGTAGAAAGGATTTTAAGCGTGTATGTACTTCTCTTATACTAGTGACATCGATCACTTTACTTTATTTCATAAGTTGAAGAACTTACAATTACCGACGATATATTCTGTTTTTATTAATTTTATTGTGTTAAACTCAAAATTATGTTGCAGTGTTCAAGAACTACAATATTATTTAGAGAACATAGTATGCTCGAAACTTCTCAATAATATAGTGAATTGCAGTAATGCAACTCTGTACACAGTGAAAGGAAGAGAATAATATTATTACCTTACAAGAAGTTGTTTAATAAAAGTTTTACTGTAACAAAAGATGTTTTTTTCTAACTTTAATTAGCATGTCTCACGTATCATGTGCAGGAGTTTTAAGGCTAATTTTTAGATTTTTTTTAATATCGAATTTCGATTTTTGTTGTTTTTTGTTGCAACAGAAATGGCCTCGTAATTATCAGAACATTATTACTTTAAAATGAAATAATAAAACTCATACAAACCTACAAATCGCTGGCTTATGATTTCTAATATAACCCCAAAAAAGGGCGCTCAATCAATAAAATAATGTACTTACTAACGGGATTGTGCCTGATTAAAAGAAAAGATTAGAGAGAAGGTTAGGGTGAAACAAAAATGCCTGCAGGACATGCACCAATAATTGTTAATATATTATGAGCAGTACTGCGTAGCAGGAGGTTGTAAAAGTGAATTGTCATACTCACTGAACGCATGAGTTCAGACATATGATATTTAAGGGGATCTAGAATTGTTTCTAAGCTTAACAGCGTAGCTACTTTGTCGTATGCCAGAAAATACAAATAAGATATCCGGAATTCAGGGCATAAAAAGAGAAAAATTAAGAAACAATTGTTAAAAAATTTTTATCTACGTCTACAATTTAGCCTTATTTTGGTATTTATTACTGTTTTTTGGACCACCTGCTCTTTGCACAATTTCCTAACTTTTGAGATTATGGCTTAAAATACGTATGTAATATCTACGTTGAAATAAACACACTGAGAAAGATGATGTTAAAAAAAGTATTATAACCGTACTAAAGACCATTAAATTTTTAAGGAAAGTTTATACAAACTCACCTGACAATGCAAGTTATTACGTTTAAAATAAGTTTTATTTTATTTCAAGCAATTCTTATTGTTTAGCAGCCCTAAAAAAATTATTACGCATCATAACAAAAATTAATATGTCTAACATAGTAAGGAATGTGAAAGCATGATTTTTGTTATTTAACACAGCAAACTTTATTGTTATCGTTGTAAAATTTTACACGTTTAGAAGCAGAATATGCGATGAGGCAAAGTTAACTTTTTATTCCACTCTCAATTGCTAGGAACGTTAAAACTTACGATTGTTAAGAAAAACAAAGAAATTTTAAGGTAAAGGGTTATCCAGTGAGATTATATTATGAATAAAATTATTTTTACAAACTCATTATTAGATACAATGTATTGGACGAGGAAAGTTTCATGTATAAAAGTATTCACGTACAAAAATATGTTATAATTGACAGCAAAACAAAATCGCTTAACAAATTGTTTAAGATATTCTTNCGGCACCGAGAACACACATTAAGAATGTGTTGTAAAACGATACATATGTAAAATATATACAGTATCATAGGACTCGGTAGCCGCCAATGACTCGCCCAGAATATAGGTGTATAGTGACGTGGTAGCTTCAGCTACCACGTCACAGATAAGATATCCGGAATTCAGGGCATAAAAAGAGAAAAATTGAAAAACAATTGTTAAAAAATTTTTATCTACGTCTACAATTTAGCCTTATTTTGGTATTTATTACTGTTTTTTGGACCACCTGCTCTTCGCACAATTTCCTAACTTTTGAGATTATGGCTTAAGTACGTATGTAATAACTACGTTGAAATGAACACACTGAGAAAAATGATGTTGAAAAAAGTATTATAACCGTACTAAAGACCATTATATTTTTATGGAAAGTTTATACATACTCACCTGACAATGCAAGTTATTACGTTTAAAATAATTTTTATTTTATTTCAAGCAATTCTTATTATGTAGTAGCCCTAAAAAAATTATTACGCATCATAACAAAAATTAATATGTCTAACATAGTAAGAAATGTGAAAGCATGATTTTTGTTATTCAACACAGCAAACTTTATTGTTATCGTTGTAAAATTTTACACGTTTAGAAGTAGAATATGCGATGAGGCAAAGTTAACTTTTTATTCCACTCTCAATTGCTAGGAACGTTAAAACTTACGATCGTTAAGAAAAACAAAGAAATTTTAAGGTAAAGGGTTATCCAGTGAGACTATATTATGAATAAAATTATTTTTACAAACTCATTATGAGATACAATGTATTGGACGAGGAAAGTTTCATGTATAAAAGTATTCACGTACAAAAATATGTTATAATTAACAGGAAAACAATATCGCTTCACAAATTGTTTAAGGTATTGATTCTGTGTAAGAAAACATTTTTAATCGTGACATTAACTTACTTATAAAATGTTAACTTCAGGAAATATTAAACTTATACTGAAGGGAAACATAAAAATGACTCAAGCTGAAGATTCATTTTTATTTTTTTTTTAGTAAAAGTTATAAACGTTTTATAAAAAAAAATATTTGAGTAACAACCAGCACATTGCCCAGAAACCCCTAATACCA